CAAGTTTCTTCCCAAATTAAACATTTGTAAAATCCTATATTCAGTGAATAAACCTCAATTCCATAAAGTTCTAAAATCTAGCCCTTTATGTGTCAAGCCCTAAGATTGTCCAACGGTTATGCAATTAAAATAGCATGGAATTGACTTCGAAGTAAGTCAGAATCAAAGTGTCCGATCTCAAGCTCAAACACAAGCAATCAACAACAGAGAAATGGAAATAGAAATCAATGAAGAAGAGAAATGAAACAGAAGATCAAATGTCTCCGCACCTGCAAAACATTGAACCGATACTCTGTTGCTCTCAGATGCCCCATGAACTGGAAACCCAGGGTTACTGAAGATTCCAGAGAACTTGATGGGAGGCGGCAGTGAACGAGGAGAGAGAGAGGAAAAGCGGCTTCTTTTGCTCAATCCCCCACTCTTCTTGAGAGAGAAAGAGGAGTTGAAGCATGGAAGAGTAAGAGAAGAAGAAAGAGACATCCTCAGAACGGAGGAGAGATAGAGAGAGAAAGGGCTTTATAGAGAGAGAGAGGCCTGAAGAAAAAGGCCCTAAATCTGGGTTTTCCTGAGGTTGAGCTGCTGTCAATTTCGTCCTAGAAATTCCCTTGTTTTTATATACGTGATGGAAGTTTCATCTCCCCTCCCTCTCTTTCTACCGCCGTTTAGAGAGAGAAACACAGCACACTCGTTAGCCAGGTATTACAGCATGCGGCCACAAGCATAAAAAATCCATATTAAAGATAGATGGATGCAAATAGGTCGTCCATCTAAAAAAAACTGAAACTAACTGTCCAATTATTTTTTTAATTCTTAAAAGTTATTTATGTTTTCATATTCCTGATCTATATGTCTTTAAAAATTAAGTCCAAAAATCCATTTCAAAAATAGCTTTTTCTCATTTCTATATTAACTCATAGAAACCATGTCTATTATATAATTAAGTGACAATTTTAATAGGAAAAAGTTTATATTAGGTTTACATATTAAAGTAAAATTGTATACAATGAGCTATTTACCTTTGGTACAAAGAGATCACAATTACTTACAATCATCCGATATGAAATATGATAGATTGGATATGTCACAAAGTTCGAAAAAAAAAAAATTGAATTTTGAGAATGGCCAATGAAATAAATACAGCCAACCACCCAATTTCACATCCAATAATCAAGATTAATTATAATCATCGTGTACTAAAGGTAAATGGTCTCATTGTATATTTTCTCCCTTAAAATGTATATCTCTAAAATCCTTCGAAAAAGGTTGTTTTGATGTTGAAAAACCATCCAATTGATCATCTCGATATCGAGATATATAATTATGGAGAAAAAAAGAGATTTCAAGTCTTAAACAATGTACATCTTGCAACACGTTATATGAACCGTTCATGTGTATTTATAAATTAGACTTATTTTTTAAGTTAATAATTTTGTAGTTAGAGATAAAAATATATTTCCACACTATCCTATGAATTTTCGACACCAAAATTATATATCATAATACGTTTAGTCAATGTTTCCATCAGTTCTTATTTTTATCAAGCACACCCTTGTGAAAGGTCTGAATGCCCCAAATTTTACTACCAAATGCTTTATAAATAAAATAAGAAATAAATTCTCTAAGTGATCCGATCAAGATCAGATGCTCAAAAACTAAGTTGCGACATTATACCTGAAGTTATTTCAATCATCCATCCATATCAAACAGTTGGAATCACATGTCTATTATATGTAGGTGGTACCACACGCATACTTTTTCAATTTAGAAATTTAACTATTTTTTTTATCTTCAAAACTGAAATCTCAAAATAAAAATAACTATTATGATTTAAGATACTATTGAACGTTATGTATTAGAAATTATACGTGTATCTACGTGCCAAATACTCACAGACATCTATGTTGTTATAATATGAAAAAATATATAAAGAGACCATTTGCTTTTAATTAAAAGAGGTAATAATCGCTTTTGTCTTATAGATTTCAAATGAGGTGATTGTGAGTATATCATTGACTAGACTTAAAGTTTAAAAATACATTCTCAAACTTCACAAAATGGCCGACAACAATTGTGACCTCATTGCAACAAATTGTTTACAACCCTCACAATATAGCTCTCTAGGTAACTAAGTGGTTTCAACTCTTTCGACAAATGAAGATTGGCTCACTCAATTTCAATATATTCACCCACTATATGGGATGGATCATCTAAACAATGAATGGTGAAATCAAGAGCATGATGGCCTTCTACAATCGAATCATCCCCTGCTCTCCAAAAACATAACAATAACCCTTGCCTGAAAATGAGTAAGAAAGTCTTGTTTTAGCATGCAAAACATAAAAAATAGTCAACAAGGTCTAAATTAGTAAGAAATTTTTCTCTAAGTCCCCATATACGTATAATTTTATACCTCCTTATCAATGTCACCTACCAGCTCCGATCAAGACTAAAGGCTATAGTTTATAATGTATATAAAAACCCGACAATGCAAAAATAATTAGGAGGCATAAAAATTATGATCATTGCTTTATTTTCTTTCATCGAAGTAGGTTGAACCAACAAATATTCTAGTCTTCCAATCCATCTTCAGGCTAAAAGCCTAGAAATGAGGGGCAAATTTCATCAATGGCTTCCAAATTCCGGTGGTTGGTTTCCCATACATACATCTCTGGCCTTAAAAATTAATTTAAAAAACAATAAAAACCATAATAACTAATAAGACCTTTTGCTTTTGGTACAAGGATCTCACTGTAGGGCATTGGATGTTGACTAAAATCAAAGCCTAAAAGAAAATTATTTTTATTGTGACGCCTCCAATTTTTTAAAATTTTTCATAAGTAGATTTCTTTTTAATTTTCATGCCTTGAAACTCCTTCTATGTGAACAACTCGAAAAACAGATCACAACACGTGAGCCAACCATTCCAATCTGGACATTAGAAACCAGAAACAAACATTGACCCGAAAAAGGAAAGAGGAAGTCAACGCCAATGTCTCCCAATTTCGAGAACTAAGGCTTTTCTTATTAAAGAAATCATCCAAGCCAGTATTATTAGAACTAGACTGAAACAGCAGGTATAACTGGTTGGAGGGCAAACAAGAACACAAACCTGTTCGATTCAATAAAATTTCAGATCTTCAGAGAAACTGGATTTTTAATGTGATTTTCGATTCAATAAAAATTCAGATCTTCAGAAAAACTGGATTTTTAATGTGATTTATCAAAAAACTTTGATTAGCTTTCGTTGGTTCAACCAGGTCTTCAAACCACTAATTAAACCAGACCAAGCACTTCTCTGGTATGGAGACCAGTCTGGTTCTGATAACACTGATCCAGACAACATGCAAAAAGTATGTATTATCTCCACAATTAGCATTGCTCCCAAGTCCAGCTCACCAAGGAGAGGCCCATCTCGAGAGAATTTAAAGGACATCATCAATGTCCAATCAAGAAACCATTTAGTCCCTCTAAAGAGAAAAGTAAATGAAAACCAAGCTCACTCATACTGCAAAAAGAATATCGTCCCAAACCTTGAATCAAGCAACCAGTTCCTTATGAAGAAAAAATGAAAAGCAAAACCCAGAATTTACATCAAACAACAGGGGGAAATGCAATAGTCCCAAAACCCCCCCAAAATCCTTTTTTTTCTTTAAACAAAGTCAAATTCTCTCTATGACTCTGAAACCTTCACATAAAGGGCCCCATCCTCGCAAGGTGGGGGGCCCTCTGGTAAGGGTTACCATCTTGTCTCCCTTGGGAAGGCGCTCTCTCCATCATTGAAGCAATGTACCTATGGTGAAAGTAAACCCGACCGCTCATGATAGGCTCCGAGCTCCCTCCATTCTGAGGATTACCAGGACTTGGGAAGAACGGACCCCACCATTGGGACTCTCCTTCAATGGGGATCCACGGGAGAGGGCCAGCAACTCCTTCACGAGCCCACCCATAGAAGCGCCTGCCTATGCTACTCCCACTACCATCTCCTCCATCTTGTCGAGCCCTAGCGTAAAAGCCATTATTAGGGTTATTGGTGTCAGAGGAGATGAGGGTTAGGCCCCTCGGTATGATCCTCCTCAAGGAAGGGGCAGCAGCTGTGGCGAAATGGGCCCCCCGTAGAGGAGGCGACCCTGATTGCTGGTTGTAGATGTGGGCACCACGCGCATGGGCCCTGTCGGGGGGAGCCACAAGTGAGGGCACGGCGCCATTGCCTGCACGCGAGGCCGACCTGTGGCAAAGATGATCAATCCACTGATTAATGATTGATCATCCTCTTGTGCATGAAATTTGAAGTATGGCACAGACCATGTGACCGTGATAGTGGTACAGTCATGGGGGTAATCACTATCGCGTCTATAGAATGGTCAGTGATGGAGGAAGAGTGGGGGCCACTCAGTGTAGAAAAAATCAAACCGGAATGGTTAACAGGACATGGGCCCGGAAGCAGTTCAACCGGCCTAACCGATAAACCAGCCGGTTCAACCGTTCTAACCAAGCAAATACCAGGCAATCAAAAAAATGTTAAAAAAATACAAAAAATATCTAATAAAATAAGAAAAGCATATTTAAAGAATGATTAAACAAAATACATCCAAATGAAGTTGAAAATTAATAAATAAAAAAAATGGATTTTAAAGAATTGATTTGTGCCGATGGGTATTTTTAATTTTTTTAAAAAAAGATGGGAAATTATAAAAGTAAGTATTAATAGCCAAAACAATTTCAATATTTTCCATAATGATGAAAAACATTAAAAATGCATTACAAAACAGAATTTCTTATTTTTTGGGCTTTTATATAATTATTTTAAATTTTAAAAAAATACCCGGTCGGTCACCAAAACCAACCGAAACCAGAACCGACTAGTGGCCAGTTCTGATCTAATCGGGCAGTTACCGGTTAGACCACCCAATTTTTCCTTCAATGGTTCCACCAGATATGTCATCAGTTAATTGTATGTTCCATTCTGCCTCCATATTCGCCCAACCCATTATTGATTGGATGGAGATGACCCATTGACCATCCCGATACCATGATCACAGGCATCTCGTTATACTTCTCCCATGTAGTCCAAGTCAAAGAAAACTAGTTTGTCTCGCACAAAAGTGCTTCAGTATAGAAAGAGCAAGTGTACTACAGCCCAGCGGACTGTGTTATTCCAAGGACACATGATCACTGTTGACTCCAACAGATGGATGGCTGTAGAATAACCGTACAAGGTGAATGTCACTTATAGGTCCGCACCTCCAGTTAATCTCCAACCGTCAATTGGGGGAACAGACACTACTTATAAACTTGAAGTGTCGACCCTAGTCTTACTTTTTTGAACTAGTATACTTTCCCAAGAAGAGAGTTAGCTAGAAGCCAATGGACTACAGAAAACCTATAGTCCATTGGGACATCCCCGTCCAATGAAATGGACAGAGAAGACGCTGGACCACACCAGAACAGCACATGATATCAATAGTGGGCCCCCCGCTCTCCCCCTCAAACATCCATTTGATTCTACAAGGATGACCCTAATAGACTACATGTTTTTCCATGGTCCATTGCATTAAAGCTTACTGTTCAAACCAACAATACAATACTCACCCGTGCAGAAAAGGAAGCGGATGCACAAACGATCCAAACCTCTGAGGACCATTTGGTTCATTCCTAGTCGACCTGGAAGCAGATTGAGAAGCAGGTTGATCGCCACTGTTGTGCAAGGTTCCGGTTGCAGGGATAGGAAGCGAAGGTTGTGGCCAATTGTGGTGGCGAGGCTCAGTGGCAATGAAAACATGAGAGCCCAACATGTCCCCAGTGGCGGCTACTCCAGCCGAGCTTGGATGTCGATGAAATGAAGCAGCATCAGCAGCAGCAGTATCAGAACCATTTGATGGTGGGGGGTGATGTATAAGGTTAGAGAAGCCATTGAGAGCTAGGTAAGGGCATATATGAGCACTGCTTGATGCAGGTAAAATGTCTGGAAACGGTGTGTTTCGCAGGTCTTGATCTGTGGAGATATCGCATAAGAAATTAATGCATCAGAACACATTATATGATGGATCAGGTGAAGGCGGAAGTCAATTAGAGATCGGATATAAAAGGCTGAGAGGTACTTACAAGTATTTGATAGGGCTTCCCCTTCCCTGCAAAAGAAAAGGAAGAAAGAAATTGTTTAGTATCCAAAATTGTTTAGTATTCATCATAGGAAAATCTCACAGCTTATAATAATATGCATTTTGAATAGAAATGGCTTCATCAATGGGTTTCTTTTTTTGAAATATCATCAATTGGTGTCTTTGGTTTTATGATCATAACATGCCAAACAAAATGGACATAGTAGAACATGATTTATGCATCGATTTCAAAACTAGATAAGGAGAAAAATACGAGAAATGCTGAGAGGCTCCAATGGAGGAACATCATGGCCATCCATGCCCTCACTTCCAAATTAAATTTTTCCACGAACAAATTACTAGATAAAATTATTTCAAAGGGCAGGGCAGTCTACATGAGTTAATAGCCTCCATAAAATTTATAAAATAGCTACTGTAACAGAGAGCTAACAAAGCCAAATTCCTCAAAATCGTCCTGCAAATACAATCTTTGTCACATCAAGCAATGCAGTTGCATTGAAAACAAAGTGAATAAAATCACAAGAACATTTTATAATCTTTTTAAGGGAAGTCCAATTTAAGAATCCAAATTTAATATAGTGAGCATCGAAACATTCAGCAGATTCAACAGGTATCCATTCCCACACCCTACCAGTTATATAAATGCAATTCAACAGGTATTCATTCCCACACCCTACCAATTATATAAATGCAACAAGCTGTGGGAATAGCACTTTTCTTTTATGTTTTTTGGTGGAAGGAGCAATGAAGCATCACTCTAAACCGTAATTGTGCAACATAACAACAAATTGTTTGAAGAAAGTTCTGAGCAAACAAGCTTACTCAAAGGCTGATGATAGTTGTGTAAATCCACGGAATGGACACCATTGAAGCCCAAATGGCTGCATCAAGTAATCAAATAGCAAAAATGTCAAATGTAAAGAGATTCAGCAACCATTAAGCAGTAGAATATTCCATTTCTTAATCTGCAAGTATAACCAGGAAGACATTGACTATAAATAAATGAAGTAAAAGATGAGATAAAAATGATGCAGCAGAACATGATAAATAGAGATACAGACATCCCAACACCGATACTGATCTCCTAAACCAATGAAGATAACCAAACTGTAACAATAGAAAACTATTAGGCAAGCTAAAAAAATCACATAGTATTGGAGATATGCGGCTTGTTTCGATGATCAGATTCACATGCATATGCATGTGCTGCGTGCACACACACGCACACAATAATTTAACGACTATGGAGTAATTTAAAGTTCCTTATTTATTTAATAGAAGTTTCTGACTTCATATTATTAATTAAAAATGCTGGGAACTACCCTATAAACCCAGGCATCCCTATTTAAACTTAGACAAGGATGTCGTTTTCCAAGTAAATGGAGCACGCTGTTGTAAAATTTTGTTCCATACTATGTTGGATCATTTTCCCTATTCGGTCCCCACGTTAAGAAACTCAAAAACTAGTGCATGGGAACTTTGTTTCCAAATCAAAGGATCTCGCTCCCTAATATTACAATAAGTAATGCCATCTAATGGAGGAACTCAATCCCCAACACACAAGGACCGTGTTCCCCACATTCGAGGCTGCACAAATATTGATCCCAAACATAGGGATCTTTGTGTAGCTTCTATCCATCAATCCCGCCCTTGATCCCGGAACCATTCCCGATCCTATTCCCAACAACTGTGGTCTAGTTATAGCAGGTTCATCATCATTAAAAAGCCTTTTCCCAACTATTTAGGGTCGGCTACACAAATCCTGGTCCGCCAATGTCTCTATCAAAGCCCATACCCTCAGTGAGGCCATAGGTCCCCATATCTTTTTTTACTATTTCCAACCATATCCTTTTGGGCCTACCCATTGCCCTTTTTAGCCTTTCACTTGAACTAACTAACACCTCCTAATAGGTGTTGTACTGGGTTCAGTGTTTGCAAAATCGAACCAGAACAGTTAACCAGATATGGGCCCAGAAGCAGTTTAACCTGCCTAACCGGTAAACCGGTCGATTCAACCATTCTAACCGGGCAAGTCTCGAGTAGTCAAAAAAGTGTTG